TGGGAGATTATGATCAGAGTAACAGGTAATTTCCTCCACATTTTGTTTCTAGAAAGTCAGGGCTATAAATGTAAGTAACTAAGACTCCCATCCACAGTTTGCACATTAATTTTAACAGCTGCTTTAATCATTTCACTTAGTTTTACCCAATGTTGACACTGCAGACCTGTTGTATTGTGGGACATGTGGGTTTTTAAAGTTTCAGTTTTGAACCATGCAGTGTTCCCTTGCTCTGTTCTGACGACTGCCTCCTGGTTCAAGTATAAGTTTCACCTTAGAACAATCAAGTGTTCTGGGATTCCCATTCTTCTCAGAGTCAGCGATAGTTTGTTATGATCCACACACTCAAATGCCTTTGCATAGTCAGTGAAATACAGATAGACATTCCTCTGGTCTTCCCTGCTTTCAGCCAAGATCCATCTAACATCAACTACACTATCTCTAGTACCACGACCCCTTCTGAAACCAGCCTGGACTTCTGGTAGTTCTCTGTTGATGTGCTGTTCCAGTCGTTTTTGGATAATTTTCAGTAAAAGTTGGGCACCTCACAGGACAGCCACCAGAACCCCCATCTTCCCAGGTAATCGGAGACGCCAAAAGCACGTGACGTGACATCCGTTCCGGCAGAAAGGTTAAAACAGAGGCTCAGCTCTGACTGGCTGAAGTTGGGCACCTCACAGGACAGCCACCAGACCCCCCTATCTTCCCTAATCCCAAATCATATTATAGATACATAAAAACAGCTATTTTTTAAAATTTTCTATTTCTTTAGAGTACTCTCCTCAGAAATTGCTTTTCAATAATAGTTATAAGATGATTCACTTTACATAGTGTTTGGTTTGCTGATTTTTTTCTTTTCTTTGACATTTGTTGATGGATTCCTTAAGTTGGTTGAATGACTCATTGGTTGGATTAAAATATTCCCAGTTTGTTTTGTTTTTTTTTCTACAATTAGTGAAAGATCTTTTGTTTAGTATTTAATGACTAGCCATTTATTATCACTTTTAGACATCTAAATGTGAGTTAATAATTTAATTTTGTAATTCTGTTCCTGAGGTTTTGATGAAAATTTTTAAATTCTGACTAATAAATGAAAATAGCAGTGAGTACATTTCCAGAATGCTGTGTTAATTGATTTAGCTTTTCCTTTCTTAATTATTAAAATTTGTTTGTTTAATTTTAAAGTCAGGAAAGTTATCAGGAAGAACCACTGTCAACTGAATTTGATACTAGAATGTGTATAGCTGAATATATAAACAGAAAATGAGGGTTACTGTGTACATTCAATATTTTAATATTTCAATTTCATGCCAACACTAGGTTGTATGAGTTATTTTAAATAAAATTTTATTTTTTATTAATTAGAAACTGTTAACATTATAATTCTCTATGCTGTATAACATCATTGGTATAACTGGTTAAATGAATATATCTCAAAATAGTTTTGATGTTGTGTTTTCTAAAATATCTTAATATCTCAAAAACAACTAGAGTTTAAGTGAACTTTTGTGGAATAGATCAGCATGTGATTAATAACTCTAACTTCAAAGCCCATTTAACACATATAATCCATCAATGATAGCAATGGAATACTTAAAATATGAGAAGTCACAATGATCAACTTAAATTATTTCAGCTGACAGAATTCATCAATTAGTTGTGTGCTTCCATCGAAAAGAATCTTGACACCAAACTTTCCTCATGGCATTTTTCATCTCTGCATTTCTCAGAGTGTAGATCAAGGGATTGAACATAGGGGCAATGATGGTGTAAAATAGAGCAAATATTTTATCTTCAGGAAAAGTGGTTGGAGGTCTAAGGTAAATAAAAATTGCAGGAGCAAAAAATAAGACAACCACAGTGATGTGAGAGCCACAGGTAGACAGGGCTTTGCGTCTTCCCTCAGCTGAGTGGTTTCTCAAAGTGAATAATATAATCACATAAGAAACAAAAAAGACAACAAAGGTAACTAAAACAACCAGACCCGAATTGACAACCACAAGAACACCAGTCATGTAGGTATCAGTACAAGCAACTTTGAGCAAAGGAAAGATGTCACAAAAATAATGATCAAGTTCATTAGGACCACAAAAGGGCAACAGCATTGCCATAAACAACTGAGGAAAAGAATGCACGGCCCCACCAGCCCAAGCAACGAAGACCAGAAGATTACATCTCGTCCTGTTCATGATAATCATGTAGTGGAGAGGTTTGCAGATGGCAACATAGCGATCGAAGGCCATGGCTGTGAGAATGAAGATCTCAATACTACCAAAGAAGTGCATGGTGAATACTTGTAACATGCAATTGCCATAGCTTATGGATTT